GGTATTTGGTATATGACATTTCATCTTGCATCTTTTGAAGATTGCTTCCTGCCATTTCCTTAAATTCACCTCTCACTGGTAGGTGTAAGAGACAATGCAGTGTCCTTCCTTTAATGATAAAAGATGCCACTCCTGTTGGTGCTGCTACTCTGACACTACCACCTAACAACAACCTCAAGCAGTTGATAAGGTAGGATTTACCAGTACCAGCCGTACCATTGATGATGATGTGGAGTGGTTCTTGACTCTTACACTCAAAGTGTTGCTTGACAGTGTGTACACTTCCAACTGTCTTCCCTTAAGGTTGTCAGGAGTAGCAGACGTGGCAAATGGAGTGGGTGTGGCATACTGTCTTCCTTGAGCAATGAAATGCGGAGCATTATCAATATCAGGATATGATCTAGCTGCTTCTGCCCAATCATGCTCCTCCTCAGTAGTGTTGACTGGCTCAAGTTCACTGGTTTATTGGCAGATCAACATCCATTCCTCTTGAGCTCTTGATTGCTGGTTCTGTTGCAGTTCCTCTTGGGATATGTCCTATAAAATTATTAATTTATTACAACAACTAACATACATGTACCTGTAATGGAAGTAGTATGTTTTTTTCAATGCATATTTTTGAAGTTTATTCCTTATACATGCATGTGTATTTAAAATTGTAAAAACTTAATATTACATGTACATTGTACACACCTCTTCATCTTCAACAGCATCTGATGATGACCGGTGCTGCCGAATATACCTGTTCTAGTGATCTTGGAATGTTTCCTGACTGGAGGAATTCAGCATATGCTTCAGTGAAGGTATCATAGGTGGACTTGAGTTCGTTGATATCTCTGAATGGCTTGCACTTCATCAGAGACTGACGACAATACTGCTCATAGTTGGGGCCAGATGGATCAGGTGACCAGTAAGGTCTGGGAGTGACAATGACTTCTTTACTCCGCTTCTTTGGTTCATCACCAAGCTCCTTTGGCATGGTTTACTGACGAGTGAAGTCAAGTATAGTGATGGTATTGAACTGTGGAGTAGTTGGATGTGACATATAGTGATCCAACACAGAATGAGCCATTGCCCTCCCTCCCTTTTGTGCAGTGTTTTCAACACTTCAAGAGCCATCAAGACTGAGAGTAAAGAAACTCCTTGATGCCTTGTACATAGGGAGTTGCAAAAGAAGGTGACAGGTTTCCTGGGCTGAATAGTCCCTCTCTCCAAAACTTTTAATGAGGAGCTTCTGAACAGCTTTGACTGATTTCTTGCCTTCTTTGAGAGAACGAGCAATGTTGGCAAAAGTATCCCTCAATGACTGTGATCATGTCTCACTCTTTGTGACGTATTTGGTGCAGTACCGAACAACCCTGTTCCTTGATACAATGTACTGCATGTCCACATTAGCACGCCAGGATATTATTTGAATGGGATTGAAGCTATTGAGCATCCCATCATTACGTGCAGTGAGTATTACAGGCTCCTCCTCTTCAGTGATGTTGATGGTGGTCTGTGCCTGAAGATTCTTAGGATATCCAAACCGACACTCCTGCTTGCCATTACGTGTATGCAGACAATAGGACTCTGAACAGCGAGTGTGTCGTTTGTATGTGGCATAATAAGATCTGTCACGTCTTCTTTGAAATCTGTTACTTCAGAATAAGACTTATTACATATGTGAAGGTCAACTTTTGCTGGTGGAGCATCACTGACATTACTGCCATCAGGAAGGACAGCAGGATTAATGGTAGAGATTATCTTGTCAGCATACTCAATGACCTTTCTTTTGTTGACTCCACAAGATCAGGTTGTGATGAGAGAGGTCCTCAACATTAGGAGCATTGGGTAGCCAAGCTAGTCCATGTACATGAGGACTGCCCCAATTTTGCCACTCAAATCTCATTCAGTAGTCTGTGGCTCCAAGTATACTAACATAGAACACTTCCACAAACCTTTGGATTCTATAGGTGAAGAACCAGTCAGCTACTGCGGCATTATTGATCACTGCTCTAGCTCGAGCTTGTTCGTCAACGGGATCTTCAGGACAAATAAGGTGAGCTAACTCAGGCCACTGGTGATCAGTAGCTCTGTGAGTGAAGATGGTGGGCAGTCCCAGCGTGTCTATCATAGCAATGAGCTTGTTCCTCTCCTTAAACCAATACTGCCTAGTGCCACGCAGACTGGTACGATTTTGTTTGAGAACCTTTCTCCATCCTGACCGATCATGTCTCAGAGGTTATGTACAGTAAGGTGAGCTTCTGCTGGATGTTGCTTGATGTAGAATCGTCCTATCTCATTTGCTCTCCAACGCATTTCTGTGTTGAGTGCAAAGAAACGGAACCGGGGGTGTTTAGCAAATCTTCCGTCATCATACGTCACTAAATGAGTGAAGTAGTCACCAGTTCGGATACGGTGAGATCTAATCCCATTGTAGTCAGCAGCACCTAAACTATTAATAAAAATACATAATGTAAATGTATAGTGTATCTTGTAACAAACCTGTTGGAAATAGAGTTGGGAATGCCATTGAGAAGTATCCCTCTGTTGTGAACTCATTAATAGGAGTACCACCAACACTGGGCCACATGAGGGTTGATGACTGTGACTGTCCCAGTGCTTGTTGAATGGTCTCTCTCTCTGTATCTGGAGGTGCTGCATTCGGTACAAAGGATGAACAATAGTGATCTTCAGTTGTTGCTTCATCAGATGTAACTTCAACTTCTGATTGTACTGGTTGAAT